AACTTCTCATCCCTCCTGTCCCTCCCTGAGACTTTTCTTCATTAAGCCCATGACTTGGGTTTTTTTTTTTTTTTTTTTTTTTTTTTTTTTTCAAAATGTTATTGGTGCTATTTTAGACTCTACAAAGCAAAGTCTAAAAAGTTTGGCGACTTGAAATAGAAAACCTGAATTCTTCCCCTTAAGTGATGCTCAGATAAATTATATTTATGTTTGTAATTGTGTGCCAGGCTATTTCTCTAAAACCCTGCTGATTGTCAGCTGAGTGCACCAGATTACTCCTCAGTAGCTTCTTCCTGGCTTTCGCTGTAATGCGAAGGCCAGTGTTGCACAAATAGCTCCAGAGATGGAGGAAACAGCCCCAATTTCATCTTGTGGGTTTGGTGAAGCGTGTGTTATCAGGACGGCTCCCTGAGTGACTGTGAAAGCTAATTCAGATCCTTATCACAACTGTCTCACACCGGAATGTAACCACAGTCCTATCAGCCATGTTAAAGCAGACAGGTGGAGGGAGAACGTAATTGTCTCATACCATAACCTTTTGTAAGGAACACCTGTTTAATGTGCCCACCCTCTCACCCGCATATCCAAACCCCACAGCTCCCATTTTGGTGGAGAGGGCTGACATTTATCTGCTGATCCATCTACTGGAGGAAAATAAAGGTGACGAAAGAGAAAAGTAGTAGAAGGAAGAGTTTTAGGATGGGAAAACACACCACTCTCCACACCTATTGATACTCCTGGGAAAGACTTACAAAATGTTTTTTTTATTAATTTTGCTATGGTAGCAAAGTCTATCAATGTAAAATACAATGTCCATTTTGAAATTTATTATTGTTGTTGTTGTTGTTTAAATAAAATCCCCAGTAGCACAGTTATTTGTTCTTTTGCTTGTGATGTTACCCAGGTTGCAGTCAGAATAACATCTTTGATCCTCTTGGTTCAGTTTCTAGATCAGTTGTTCCCAAACTTTCCAACTTCTGACCCACAAAATAAAAATGTACGAAGGTCATGACTCTGACCTTGGTTGAGCATACAAACATTTTTGCAGAGTCAGGTGAGAAGTGATACAATGACAACACAATCAGTATTAACAGCCTACATAATAACCAACATGTTCCTTTGAATTATTTTCAAGGCTTGTTTTTTTATATATATTTTTCATTTCTTTATATATAGTGTCTCATCTTAATTTTTGGGATGTAAGTTAATTTCTGATGAGGCTTTTAAGACCCCAGGCTTACTGGTTTGTGACACCAATTAGAGTCCCAACCCAAACTTTGGGAACTACAGTCCAACAGTTCCCAAAGTCCAAATTGCCCTGGACTGTCTCTGACATACTCATCTTTGTGTCATTTCTATGCTGATTTCCTCCAATGATTAGCCTGGTAAAACCAGCCTCTTGTTGTATGCTTTGCTTCAAACAGAAGCTCTGGACCCTCGGCCACTGAGGAACGATTGCTTCCTAGAGGAGAAGACTCTGTTGAGGTTTTAAACATCTGGATCTGAAGGTTGTCACGTGGCGTAGTGGGTAGAGCAGACGCCCTACATGCAGAGGTTATGGTCAATGCGACTCCTGATCTCGGTACCTTTGATGCATGTCTTCTTCCCCCTTTAATCAATTTTATCCCACTATATATGTTCATATATATAAAATCGATTGGATTAATTTTTACCTGGTTGCTAACATTTGGCTGTGATGAATACGTTAGCTTCATTGTGAAAGTAACTATGCTGTGAAGTGTGTTGGAATTGGCATGCGATATAAACATTACTCCCCCACTGAGCCCAACAACATCTTCGCCAGCAATAAAATGTTTTACACATTCTTCCTGTTCTGACTTCAATTGCTCAATATTTGGAAGCAAGTCCAATTAGCACTGAAAAGCTGCGTTCACACTGCCAGTGCTAAACTACTGGTAAACCATAATTCTGAAACAGCTCAGAAAATCAATGTCATTGTTTCTGACGTCTCCTTCTGTATGCTGATTGGCCCTACTGAAATTCTACTGGAGAAATCAAGGTCAATGGGAGAAATTCCACATGGAACACTGATGAGATGAGAATCGGACGGAATTGCACAGGAAAGCAATAGCCAGACTACCAATAACAACCAGTTTTCATTTTTCAGCTAGAAGCCACCAGATTTTCACCTAAAATTTATTGGTAAATGAAAGAATTCCCAGGCTTTCAGATGAAAACAAGTATGACAAAAAGTTAGACCAGAAGAAATCTGTAAGCAGGCCAATACTTTATCCTAGTCCTGTGTTTATAGATGAAATATTCTTTTATCTTTTAGTTTTGAAATGATCAACAGTACAGACTCAGTAGCACAAAAGGCTCTAATTTGCAGACCTTCTGACAGAACAGTGAAACATGCAGCCAGATGTACATGAAGCTTTTAAGCATTCCTTCCACTCCACGTCCTTTTTACCATTCTTCTGCTAATCCGTCAGCATACAGCGCTAATAACCAGCAGTGCTTACCGACGCTGCGGAGCACTAGCGGAGTGGGCGGGCCCTGGACACGGGTCTTTGTGACAGTGTTAGTCACCACACAGGTGTAGTTTCCAACATCCGAAGGCTCCATTTTGGCGATGTACAGATTCCCCGTCTCCTGTGAGACGAAGCGCCGGTTGTCCTGCTTCACAAACGTCGGGTACTCATTGAAGATCCAGGAGAAGATCAGATCTGTGGGCACAGAATAGAACATTTGTTCACTTAAATACAAAGGAAGCATCTCAGAGGTCATTAAAGAGAACTGCTCAACTATTCCTGGAGTGGAGGAAAGGCTTTAGAAAGTCTGCTGGTAGCAAAAATGAAAAATAAAACACATAGAAGACCTGAAAATTAAAAACAGGAGACGTTCCAAAAAAAACTGGTTTTACTCTGACTCTCTCCATTTATTCTTATTCTGCAACAATTTGTACTAGTAGCAAAATGTCTGCTGCTTGGGTGGAGTACAATTTTACAACCACTTCAGCACAATTAATGATTCATAAAAAATAATGACTTTTAAAATGTCATGTTTACAATCCATACTTGGTGCAGATTCAGGCAGATGAAACTATTTTACCAGCTAAATTTTTTGACCTCCATTCCGTCTTCTGTGTTCTCTCGCTAAATGAATTCATGCAATAAAATAATAAAAAATAGTGGAATATGAGTGACAACTAACACTTTAAAGCCTTTGTGATCCATGGCTGTATTTTAGCCTGCAGGCTGCCACTTTACCAGATGTGAGAGGCGTTTCAACATTATAAATGCTGTGCAAAGGTGTGAAGCTATTTATTTTAATTAACATCTTTGCATACTTGAGAAGCCAGATCAAGACAGAGGACTTCAGTTTACACAGTTTTCTGGTTTATTACGCTTCTGATTTGAGATAATGAGGCACTTTAAAACAAAGAGAATAACTGCAAGTACAGTACAGCTTATGCACTGACAGAGAATTTAATAAAAGGATAATATTCTGTAACTACTAAGCGATAATGATTAATGAGTACGAGCTACACTAAAGCCTCCATTAACCTGGTCAATAATCCAGTTTAGCTTGAGTTAGTTTTTCTATGGAGATAAATGGACAGCAGATGGACAAAGAGGATGAAAAATGTGTTAAAATTCAAAATACAAGACACATCGCGGTCACTCTCCCTGGCAGCTGGTTTATGATTTAACCATTGACATCGGTTCGGCGGAAAAAGTTCAGAGGCAATTCAAAACTGGTATTAAGAATTGATTGCAGAGCAGAGGGTTGCCATGGCATCTCAAATTAGATCTAACCTCGTTTTACAACCTGGAGTCCCACAATTTCTAGAAACGGGCATCATGCGTGCTCCATATGTGAACACAGGAATTCGCCGCGTTAGTCACCCCTTCATGAGGCTCGCCTCCGCTTGGCTACCAGCAGCTGCACCGACTGAGCTGGAGGTGGCAGATCAGAGAGTTGCCAATGTGGGGAGGAGACGGGTCCTGAGACTCATGAGCAACTAGTTCACATTTTCCATTTACAACCTTCAATTCTGCAGCTTTCTGGGCTGATTTATGGATTACTGTTTGGCTTTTTAATCGCTCGCTGATTTATTATATAGAGTCACTAAACATGGTGGGTGATTTTTCTGCCACTTTTTTTCAGTTTATTTTGATGATTATGTTGCAATTAATAGTTAATTGTGGATTATAATCAACCATTGATAAAAAAACAAACAAAAAAAAAAACAGAAGTCCTGGTTATGTTGCCTGTGAATTAGAAAAAACCCAGGAAAAACTCATTTTAATGTAGAAATGTTACATTTACAGCCATATTGCAGCCTAAACAGTAACAGTGAAAACTACTGGCTTGGAGTTTATCATCATCATCCACAAGGACGATCATTCGCAGAAAGTATTGGCTACTGAAGCTGCCTATTTACAAACAGGGGCTGATTTTGGCACATTTCTTCAACAAAACAGATGAAAACCAGGAACTAAAGGTAAACACACTATACAGGACATAGACATACTCTCCACATCCCATTTTTGTATCAAAAAAGCTATTTATTTTTACCTTATTCTGGCTCACATTTTAGGAATTGTTTACCACGGCAGTAGCCCAGGGCTTCATTTTTTTGGGGGGGAGGTCCAAAGTTTCTTTTTGTTTTGTTTTTTTTTGGAACTGAATGCTTTGCAATAACTGTACTTTATGTAAAGCTTAAAAGGCATCATCAGGTAAGTTGCATTAATATGCTGAGATTTTTATGAATATGAACAATGTAAATAAGCTGCTGCTGGGCACAGCCCCAACTCAAAGTTAACACATTTTATACACATCTAAGTGGCTGCAGACAGATACACGATTGTACAACCATACATCTTTGAAAAGCAGAAGTGGCGCCTACTCTACAACCATTAAGAATGCAGCAAGTTGTTTCTGGGTGGTGAGTCAACAACAAAATCCTTGTGTTTTTCCAGCAGTTATTTTACAGTGTATACAGCAGTAAGACCACCAGACCAAACATGCTCGTCTGCTAATAATGAATTGGGCGGAGCTCTGCTAGGGAGTTTTTTTTTAGCACTTGGACTTTGGACGCAAATGAAAGGACAAAAACGTGCAAAAAGTGAATTTGGCTAAATAGTTCCCCTTTAAAATCACCTGAAAACCAACATATGATTTTTTTTATTAGCTGTCAGTATCAGAATTAACATAAATATCTGACTCCTACAGTAGTAGGAGTCTGTCCTGTAATTGGTGGGTTGTTGGTTCAAAGCCCTGCTCCATTTTTCAGTTGTTGTGTCCTTGGGGAAGACACCTCACCACCTTGCCTTGCTGGGTTTCAGTTTTTGATGATAATAACTGAAATGAAGAAAGTTTTTGACAATATTGTAATTTCTGGAGATGCAGCTGTATCTCACTTATTAATAATAGAGAAATGACTTGAAAACAGCCATCAGCCTTTTCTCCCAGCAGGATCCTCCTCCTGGCTCAGAGCAGTAGTAGTAATCATGGTTTGGAGCTCCGGCTCTGGGTGTGTCTGTCGTTCATCCTGACGGCCACAGCAGAGAGCCGCAGGGACCTGAGACACTTGGAGACAGGATAAGGCATGTTGTGTGTGTTTGTTTCCTCTCCAGTGCATCTGAACCACAGCTGCACCTGCTCTTGTTCTGAGTATAAAACTCTTCCAGCCATGCAGCACGTGAGCCACAGAATGCCGCAGAGATAGAAAGCATAATGAGGCGCCTCGCAAGGCAGGAGTCAAGAAAATCATCCGGGGCATTGACTGTTCAGGTTATCCAGCACTGCGGAGGGAAAACAGGACATCACCGAGCAAACCCTGAAAAGGAATCGAGCTGTTTGGGTTTTCACAGTCACCGCCATAGCAACACAGGTGCCCTCTTTTTGGATGAATAGTGGATGTTTAAGATGAATAAATAAGCAACAGCATCCTTTAATACATCCCCTTTTGATCCATCGAAAGAAAAGAAAGGTAACATTCCACAAAACACAGACCCCCGCAAGCCCCACTTTGTGCTTCCCCTCTGGGTTAAAGATCACTTTGCAGGAGTCACAATGAATAAAGCTGCTCCGCTCACACAAGGACTTCAAAGGACAGGCCTAAATGAATATTCAGGAAGAGAACAAGATGTGCAAGTCAAACATGCCCTTCTCTTTGCACAGCTAAGATCAAACCCAGACAGACTGGTGATAATGCACAGATGGAGCATGGAGACAAAGATGGGGAGGCAGTAAACTCAAATCAGAACAGTCTTTATGCCAGACTGGAAATGGGAACGTCTTCATCAAGCTGGAGCACCTGTGGATGGACACTGATGATGTTATCCATGTTTCTGGAAATTTAAATGTGAAGAGGACAGAGAAAACACGAACCAGTCAGATGATGGAAATACATTTAGATTGATGCATAACATTTTTGCTGGGTTAATCTTGTTTGTTAATTGACCCATCACAGCCTTTAGAGTTACACAGAAAGCAGCTGAAAGGCCTTTGTTTCTTAACGTCATTTTAGTGATGTTCAAAACAAAGGGCTAGTTTTGAAACTTTTTCTACAAGTACTTTCTGTACTGAAATTGAGCCACAAATATTTAGGGAGCTGAATTATCAACAAGTCAGATTAAAAAAGAGAGGAAACATGCTAGCGGTAGCCTAGCAACGGAGCAAAGTTCACTGGGTGAAAACCTCAGCAGCAGGAGAAAAACATGGGTGTCCTAAAAACTGCCACCGTATTTGTCAAGTCAGAGATTTTTTGAGACTCCGTATAAAGCCACGTGAGCTTCAGCCAGCTAAACGAATAGATGTTTACAAGCTGAATGCTAACATTAGCCCATTTTCCACGGATGTGGTTTCAACATCCATGCTCATAACCAAGACAAAAAATCTCAGTAACAGGCAACATCAGCAGGGCAAAACCTCTAGGTTTGAAAAATAAGAAAGAAAACATTGCCATTTTTTTTGTAAAACTTTTGTACAGATCCTTGTAAACTGTATTTAATTTTCTCAAGGTTTATATAAAAAAAAAAACCCTGTCTTTAACACAGATATAGAGGGACACTGGTCAGCAAAAAGGTAAAATAAAAAACAAACTGAAGCATTTTATGAAGGTATTTTGCTTATAAAGAAAGCAGAAAAAATAAAAACTCATTCTGTTCAGAATTTCACAACATTACATTAAATGGATGTAGGTAATAATGTTTTCTGATTGGTATTATTGCAAAAATACCTTTTAGGTTTTCATTTCTTCTCAAAAAGCATACATTAATAAATGCTAATGTCTTTTTTAGGTAAATTCTCAACTGTGTGAATAACTTTTATCGACATACTGACCTCTTAAGGACATTCCCGTCCCACAGTGAAACGTTTTAACTAATGGTGGGTGTAAACCTAACACTAGGAAATTAGACTCATCTCACATGAACATTTGATAACACTTCCTTAGCTTACCCATAAATGACAAACTGCAAGCTTCACTGTTCTAGATGAATAACTAATTGTTCATCTAATTTGTTTTCTTAGGTATTTAAAAAAAAGATAGGTGAAAAATAATCATATCTTTGATCAACGCGCTAATTGTCATGTTTTTCACGTAAATGAACGTAATTGAGTCTTTTCTGTTAAGCACATATATGCTCTATTTTTCACAAGATGGCACATAATAGAAAGTTTATAAAATACTTTGGTAGAAAAAAACGAACAAACA